TAAAAACATCACAATAATCCACAAGTAATCCACATGACTCCAATCCATCAATGAACTAGGGCTGTAAAATAGATTAATCGTGATTATTCGCATCTAAAATAAAACAAACTTTCGTTTTGGATGTGATTAATCGCAATCAATTTGACAACCCTACAATTAACGTGACTGGGATGCATTGGTGATCAAGTGATGCAATGCTGAATTTCTCCAAATCTGTTCAGATACATCTTGGGTGGCCTGAGGATGAGTACATTTTCAGCTAATTTAAATTTTTGGATGAATTATTCCTTTAAAGGGGTCCTATTATGCTTTTTCACTTTTTCAACTTTAGTTAGTCTGTAATGTTGCTGTTTGAGCATAAAAAAAGATCTGCAAAGTTACAATGCTCAAAGTCCACTTCAAAAGGAGATATTTTATTTAACAGAAATCACTTTTCAAAAACTACAACGAACGACTCGTTTGGACTACAACGCACATTTTCCGGGATTTGTGATATTTAATGTGTTTTTCGAACAACCTAGTATGAGAGCCTGTTCTAATACACCCCCAAAACAAAATCAAGACTTTGTAAAAGAGCATAATAGGACCCCTTTAAAGTCAATGGGGTCTCAAAATATCTTCTTTTATGTTCTACAGAAGAAAGTAAGTCATACAGGTTTGGAAGAAGATGAGAGTGAGAAAATGATGACAGAATGTTCATTTTTTGTGTGAATTATCAGTTTAAATGAATTCATCCATGATATTATTATTTTGCTGCTAACCATTTCAGAAAATGAAAAAGCTGTTCTCATTTGCACAGCACAAGATTACAGACATTTATTAACTATATGACAGTAAAATAAAATTACAAGTGTCAGTACAAATGCGGTTTCTGTTCTGTATTCTGCTGCTGAAGGTGCTGTGCACAGGCTATGCGAAACCATTGAAGGTGATTTGCTGTAATTGCATTTGAGCAAAATTATTTGGATGTGCGTGCAGTTTCTAATTGTCATTGCATCCTGCTTCAATAAATGAATTAGGCATGTGTTTCCTGACGCGCACCCTTTCTTGAACTCTCTGTCTATCTGCTTGATCCTTAATGTGTTTTTTAAATGGTCTACATAAGCAAAAGAAGATAAGTTGTAATGAATAATAGCTGGTGAAGAAAGCGGGAGTATTTCAGGAAAAAAAATAAGTATCGTGAACAACTTTTAATCTTATGCCTTATGCCTCAGCATCTTCGAAGCAAATGCAACAGACATAGTTTGTAAGGATTTCATATTTATCATTTCTAATTTACATCTTCAAGAAAAAATCAGCGTCTGCTGTGCCACATAATCGACAGTGTTAGATGTGTCATTATAAGGAAAATAAATAGGGATGCACCGATACCACTTTTTTCAGAACGAGTCCGATACCGATACTTTCATTTTTGGTACTCGCCGATACCGATACCTGTATTTTCACAGCATTTGTACTTTTTTTTTTAAATATTGGGTACAGAAACAAAATAATAGTAGTAATAATAATCAGGGGCGGCCCTAAGGGGGGGTAAGGTTAGGACGATTCAAAGGGCCCGACGTTGGAGGGGGGCCCACCGAGGGGGGAACGCGATTTATACCGAGGGGAATGCAGAACACGATTTCTATGAGATGCTCAGGCCCTAGCCCGACCCGTTTCCGACAGCTTATCAGAATTACTTTTCTGTAATAATGTCTTTTTTTCCCCCTTCTCCAAAACAGCTTGTACTACTGTTTCAGCTATTAAAATAGTTCAGTTTTGTATTTAATGGCAAAGTGATTACATTTTGTTTAGTTTTTTTATTAAGTTAATTTAGAAAAACGTTTGGAGCATTTTTTGTTCGTTAAATATAAGTTTTTGTTTTTTAAAGTAAGGACCAAGCGGCCAGCGGCAGACAGTGAGCCGATCAATTTAGCCTTCTCAAATCATCACGACTTGCCTGAAATAAAATCTAGCCTATAGATATAAAACCGTTCAAGCATATAACAATGTTTTAAACGTTAAACCTAGATAAATGTGCGCTATAACCAATAGTTTGTGCGGAGAGTGGAAGCTGAAGCGCACTTTGCAGGACATGGAGGTGCCAGCGCGATCACTTGTGTTTTTTTCAGTGGATAGCCTACGCCGTTGAAATAAAACAAATCAAAGTGTCTTTCATTATAATAAGTCATAATTCGTAAAGATGCACTTCTCTCTAAAGGCGCGTCTGAGGAGATGGCGAGTCACAGATATTACCTTCAGTTATTTCCACACTTAATTATACCTGTTAAAATGTATTGTATTTTGTTAAGCTTTTGTTACTTTCACTGTTCATTTTAATGGCTCCATTGCAGCAGCTCAATATACTGTAATCACAAAACGTTTTCCTAAAATAATGCAGGGAACCACTCGTTATACATTATACGAGTGCACGCGGACTATTTTGGTGATGTAATTTGCATCACGCGCAGTGTACATGGACATACGCAGCGCGCACACGTTTGTATTGGTGCAGAATGAGAGAGACACTTACAGCCGTACGTGCGCTCATTGGCGCCCCTTCAGCTGGTGGCGCCCTAGGCGACCGCCTAGCTCGCCTATGCCTAGAAATGGCCCTGTCTGTGAGATATTCACTTCGACAAGCTCGCGCATCTGTGCAGCTGCGCGCTCAATCCACTCAGTGCGCTCTATCTATCGGTATCGGTGCATCCCTAAAAATAAATATATGTGATTTATGTTTTTCTTCTAAAGTAAGCAAAGCATTTTACATCCCAATGTATTCTTGTCATAACTCTCTTGAATAGATGTTAAACTTGTATAAATAAAAAAATCTATACTGCTCTTTTGTGAATGGGATAAGTAGTATTGTCTGATTCAAGTTGCTCATCTGATTGTTCTTTTTAATTATATGTGGATAATGCAGCTGATATGAAACATATGTTTGTAGCAACATGAATCATAACTGCAATTAGACGCGGAGATACTCTTGTTACGTTGTCTGTCTCTACTGTGGTAATAAGCAGCTGTGAGTTTAATAAACAGTACAGCAGCATGAGATATGAAATTGTTTTACAGAAGCTGAATTTATTTCATGAAACATTTGGAATTGCCAGCAAAGGCAATTATATGGTTCTCGTTTAGTCATTTTTTGGGTAATTTACTAGGAACATTCTATTTAGGTGAAGAAAATCATTATCATTTCCAGAAGAGTTTGTTATGATAAAGTGTTTCTTCAACTTCGAAGACTTTTATGTCCGAGGGGTTGATTTTTTTTTTTTTAACTAATAAATTTCACATTTTTGTTATGTAGTGGTCACATTATAACCATTTTGTAAACACATCTCTATGCTTTGTTTATTTTTGCTTTTTTTTCTCTCTCTAGAATGCTTTTTTGTATAGATTTTACTGTTTCACCATTGTCCCAGACTCTGACTTCCTATATGGAAATACCAGTTGTTACAATTGTCAGGTAAAACTGTGATAATCTAAACAAAGAATGAAATAATCAGAAAATAATGATTTCTATCTTATAATGAAAATTTTGTCTGTCTTTCATTTGTGGATTCATTTATGCAAAAAGTGTGAAGATGTTATTTAACTGTGCGTATTTACGATGTGTAAATGCTAACTATGACATTAACCTCAATTAGAGGTTATTTTTATTTTATTTTACTTTATTTTTGACCCTGGACCACAAAACCATTTTTTATATACATCAAAAGCTGAATAAATAAGCTTTGCATTGATGTATGGTTTGTTAGGATAGGACAATATTTGGCCGAGATACAACTATTTGAATATTGGGAATCTGAGGGTGCAAAAAAATCAAAATATTGAGAAAATCGCCTTTAAAGTTGTAAAAATGAAGCACTAAATTTATTAAGTTTTAATATATTTACATAAGGAAATTCACAAAATATCTTCATGGAGCATGATCTTTACGTAATATCCTAATGATTTTTGGAATAAAAGAAAAATCGATAATTTTGACCCATACAATGTATTTTTGGCTATTACAACAAATATACCCCAGCGACTTAAGACTGGTTTTGTGGTTCAGTGTCACACTTTACTTTACTTTACTTTACTTTATGTAAGGAATTTAACTCATTAATTCTTGATAAGGGAATTAATCATTAATTTTATTTCTAGCTCAGGTTTTGAAAGGACTCGGATCTGAAAATTCGAAGTCCACCTTGAGGGTGTGATTAAATTAGCCATTTCCTGTGCATACATATAAGAGTCCTATGCCTAAGCGATCAGGAGGTATTCTCTCAACTATATATGGTGAAAGAACTTTTTAGTTCTTGATACAAAGAAAGCTTTGTTGTCTCTTGATTGGATTAGTCTTTAATCACTCCTCTGAGTAGATGACGACAAGACTGGCAGGAAGTCGACCCAGAATATTGGAGTCATGTGCTGGGGTGATTAGCAAACCTCATGATGGCTGATAGGGGCATAGCAGTGTCCGTTCATGTACTAGAAATCCCTACATTTACTTTACTTTACTTTACTTTACTTTACTGCCCTGGGATGAAAATTAGCCACCACATTTTGCATTGCTTTTATGTATTATTTATGTGTATTGTCTATGATTAAATATATAAAAATGGAAATGGAAACATTATTTAATCCAAAAATGTATTTTCCAGAGCTGTCATTTCCACCACAGACTGCTATGAACCACAATAAATCATTTGAGATATATGGTTGAAATAGAAATGGTGGGAATAATTATGACAGAGTTCTCCTGTAATGTATTCTTAGACACTTTTGGACATTTTTGTTGACAAAGTGTAAGAAAAATGTTTTAAGAAAGTTTATTTTCTAAGTTAGAAAAGAATAACCAATTACAGTGTTCTTAGGGACCAAAATAAATTTAGCAACGCTTACCACAGTTAAATAAACTTGATTTTTTTGGGCACCAACAAGCTATTGTAGCATATGCGCATGTAACTCCTTTGATTGAAAAGTATGCTTTCTATTCTTCTGAAGTGTTGCTGTTGTGTTTGGTGTGGCAGGTGGCTGTGTGAAGGGGGACCCCCAGGGCTGGACCCATGAGGAGTCAAAGAAGATGCTCGCAGCCTGGGCGCTTCTGCTCTTCTTAGCCATGTGGGTGAGAAACGCCACCAGTGGCCCGCTCTCATTCAGAATAGGTGAGTAATGTCTGCCGCTTTCAAGCTGTAAAGCACATCACTATCTATGGCCTGTATCTCTCGTTAGTTCTTACGCTGAACGGTGTAATTTGTAATCACTGTTAATTAAAGTGATGGGGTTTCACACCAGATTTGCTGCCTTAAGGCGGACTGTAACTCCCAGAATTAACACACTGGAAAAGGAGAATGAGCATGTGAGCGCTGCTTGTTTTATGTTGATGTTGTAAACAAAGGCTAGTAGAAAAAATTAACGGTTTCTAGTGTTGTAACACTGTGGAGGAAGCTGCGTTGAAACAGATTGTGTCTGACTCATAGAGTTTACTCTCTATATAAAGATACCCACTCTTAGGTAAAAAAAAAAAAAGATACACTTTTCAGGTAAATCAGCCTACAGTTGGCTTACTTGTACAGTGGAGTCCAAATGTCTGAGGGCACATTAAAATATAGGAAGGTTTTAGTTTTTACATTAGGTTAATTGATTAAGAAAATTTGTGACCGTGATCATTGGATTTTGTACAGATTTTAGGACACAATGAAAGTCTAGAATAAAAAAATTAAAAAAAATGAAACCTTGAAATAAATACACATTTTTTTATTTTTTTTTAGGTGTCTGGATTTAAGGAGGTTTTTCAGATTTTATTTGACATTAGGTCAATTGAATGTAAATTAGTGGCATTGATCATGTGACTCTTTGTGCAGACGGTTAGATGTTTCATGCTTTTGTTGAATCACAAGATGTTTTTTGGATCATTTTAAAAACATGCTTGATCCACATGACCATCAGGTTTCACACAAAGTTGTGGAGTTTATGCATCTTGTCATAGATGCAAATGAGGAGCAAAAAGTAAGACATTCTGAAATTCATGTTAATTTTTAAGCCTTTTTTCCCCCCCGACTTTTCGACCTGGTTGTAATTGCCTCTTCACAGTAAGATGGAACTGAGAAAGTATTTTAAAGGGATAGTTCACTCAAAAATAAACATTTCTGACATATCAGTTCAAATTTAGCCTATATGACTTTCATTCTTCTGTGGAAAACAAAAGAAGATCATTTTAAAAATGCATGCCATGCATATATGTAAAAAATAAATAAATAAATAAAAAACCTTTTTCCATACAACATTACAAATTACATGATCTGTATCTTTTTTGTCCCTTTCTTTCCCTTTCCATACATAGAAAGAAAATGGGATCCGATGTTGTTTTGGTCCCCATTGACTTACGTTGTATTTTTTGACCATACAGTGGAAGTCAATGGGAATCGAATCTGTTTGGTTACCAACATTCTTCAAAATATCTTCTAAAGGTATTGCAACATTTTAAACAGTCTTTGGCTCTTTAAAGTGGTTACATCGCTCTCAACAGATTCGAAACACCATGTTGTATCGCCAATGACATTAACGTCCAAAACATCGCACTGGATGTTTTTTTATTCACGAGAGCACTTCAGACTTAGCATTAATGTAAAATTAATAATGTCAGTCATAATGCTGAAGTATAATTAAATGCTAACAAAAAATTAGCGAAGGCCTCAGATACTCGCTTAAGAGATGTTGTTTTTGTGAGTTGTGTTTATTAGCGCCCACACAGCCTCTGCCTCACTGGAGAAAAGCATTAAAGGACCTTTCCCTCATTAAGGAAATGAATATAGCTGTTTAAACTGACTTCATTATGGTTTAGAAGGCGAACCGAAAGAGAAAAAGCAAGACGGAGCAAAAAAAGAACCCATTTAATGTAGGTCTGGGCTTTCAATAATGATGAAAATGTTGTCTAATCTAACTGGCGCCATATTGAGCAGTGCAAAATGTAAATTTAGTTCCAGCTGATTTAGCAAAGGGGAACACGTGTGGTTTTCCATGTGTTGTGTGTACAAGTGTGAAGCTTTTAATTCACTGTGGTAAGGCTCGGTCGTGAGATGTTTGTGCTTGCTAAAAGAGCATTGATCTGCTTATTCGGTGGCATATTACAAAAACAATCCCTCTGATTCCAGCGGCTCGGGGATCAGATGAGGCGATGTGCTCTCATCTCCACTAAACAAGCTCCTGCTTTCGTAGATCAATTATTAAGCAGCCGATGCGATCGCCGCCTCTCCAGAGCCTCTGCCTCTGTCATCTTCTTTGTCATTCAAACGCCGAACAAAGCGCTCCCAACTTACCCGGGTATGGTTGGGTAATTAACCGGCGCTGCTCTCCTCCTCCACTTCTCCCTCGTCTCCTCACCTCCTGCACCTATGAATGCACCTCCGCAGCAAACCCTGTTTATTGCTGTCTCATTTAGTTGACGATTAATTAAAACGTGTGGTTTCTGTTTTTACCGCTCCGATGCGAAGTGGCTCTGCCGAAGGTTGTGTAAATAGCGCGGGCGGCATTAACATTTTTTCTTTCCCTGCACGTTGACGTGATGCTGACTGCACTGCAGGAGATGATATTTAACACTGCTGCCCCTCCAGTACGAATGTCACTGTCTGGTTTGCGCAATGAAAGCGTCAGGCCAAAATAGCATCACTTTGGCAGTGAAACAGATATGTGGTGTTTGGATACTCGTCCCCAACTTGGGATAGCTTCTTAACTAGTTTAAAGAGATAGTTTGGCAAAAAAAGAAAATTCTTTCACAACCTGTATGATTTTTTTTAGAAGGAGATTTTGTTTATCTCCTAAGCGAATGTTGGCTGTCAGGTAAGATTTTCAGTAAATATCAGTTGGCTTCAGAAGACTTAGGCTAGAGCTACATTCAGACTACAGGCAAAAGGCAAATCCGTATATGCAAAATATGTCCGATTTTCCATAACAATGTGAGTATCACAAACCACATGGAATATGATCTTTTCGAATCTTATTTGGGCTATTAAGATATGTGGTCCTAAATCAGATACAGGTCTGATGTTTTGCAATGCAACCTTAGTCTGAACCTCAGAAGAACTTATGCTAATGTTCTAATTAAGTTATGGGAAATGTATTTCTTAAAGTTCTCTGAACATTAAAAAAACTGGACACTTTTAAATGTTTTAAAAACTTTTAAAAACAAATGCTTTTGTGCTAATCTTTTGAGAACAGGGGTTTATAAAACAGGGTTTTTCAAAGTGTGGGTCTCACAGTGAGACAAGGTGGGTCATGTGAAGTCACTCGGCTGCCTTCTTAAAGGGATAGTTCACCCAAAAATGAAGATTCTGCCATGAATTACTCACTCTTAGTACCACATAGGCATGGGCCGATGTCCGGTTTCAAGGTATACCGCGATTTGAAAATTTCACGGTTTCAAAACCACTAATATTTTCCGTTATACCGTTCCTGCGGTATGCGCTGTTTTTCATGTTTCCTCAACGACTGAAAGTGTAGGAATCCCTCAGGTTGAGTGCAGTGTAGAGAGTAGCACGGCCCCTCCTCCTCCTGTTGGTGCAAGAGAGTGGTCAGTCACGTGTGTGTAGGATGGCCGAA